TGTGTTGTCAGAAATCTACATTATTTGTGTTCATTGTTTTTACTTTAGAAGTATGGTCTCAAGGTAGCACCATTAAGCGCTTTCACATGCTATGAAGGTACTAGTATGGGAGCATGATGGAAGCGTGGTTACATAGTACATCTTCAGGGATCTGACTCTGATAGAGTTGAAGATTGCTTCCAATTTCAGATTAATCTGAATGACCCTAGCTTTAATGCTGTTATACTTCTGGAACTGATAAAATGTCAGGTCACTGAAAATAAACGGATGTATCCTAAACAATCTGAAATGAGTAATGTAGAGTTTCTTTGACTCCATATAAGTCCCATGCACTTCACAACCAGGCGCAATATTTTATCAAGAAATGTTTTGTTCTTAATGAATCTGAGTGCTTTTCAGCTCACTAAGAGTATATCTACTAGGGAAAGAGGTAGGAAATTCAGTCTCTTGTGTTCCTTTGCTTTATGGTTGTTAAAATTGTGCATGTACAGAGCAATGCTGCAACAATGATTTTTGTGTTATTCTCCATAAATATTTGGAGAAAACTCAGACAACAGAGTTAAAGCTAAGTGGGGGCACAATAAATAAAACCCTGTTGGTCGATGTCAAGTTTCTCTTTTCTTTTAGCAATAACTTTCCACGTGGAGCTCAAATCTCATTAACTAATAATAAGATTTGTGATTGTACCTCCTGTACACCACTTACAAAATTTACTCCTTAATCTAAATCAATGAGGTACCACTAAGAAATAGCTGAGCCTAGTCTGACTTGACATTTCTTGTTATTCGGCTCATAATTTTTTTTCTTGCTGAAAAGCAGATTTCATCATGTTACGTCAAAAGGGAAAAAAATAGTGAAAAAAGTATCTGAGCAATCTTTTACTACTTAGTTCATGCATACTACAAAGCCATACAGGTAATGTATCAAATGGGGATGCTGACCCAACTAATTTTTTACACTTGGGAATTCTCTCTTAATCACGGAAGCCAGACTGTGTCCTCACATCTACGCCTCCTGAGAGGGAGGGAGAAGGCAGGCAGTGTGTAATTACACAGTACCCCTCAACTAGGCCAGCAAATAATGCATGTACCACAGTACAGATATGAATAATTACCGGTGTGTTGCTAACTCACAAGAGAGCAAAGGTTTGTTCCTAATCTAGTAGTGCTGATGGAATCCCTTGAGAATGTTTCTCTTTGCAAAATTTTGCAAAGCTGAATAAGTTGACACCAAATGTACTGTGCAGTTAAAAACCAACAAGAAGGTGGCTCTCCTGCAACCCCAAGCAGGAAGCCCTCCAGCTTCTCTCAATACTGTGAATGTCTCCTGTCCTGCCTTTAGGTGGGCTATGAATTCACCCAGCCCTTTCCAGTCAAGAGTGACTGAACCACTGCCTTGGTGAAGTCTTCCGTAGGTCTCTATCATATGTAGTCAAAGCTGCCTATGTTGACACTTCTTTTTTTTAATTAAAGGTTTGTAGGTTTGGTCTAATCTATCTATATGTAAAGAGCAATATATGAAAAACTTTGATAAGCCAAAGGAAAAACAGTGGGAGAGTTGCAAGACGGTGATCCAGCGCAATTAGAGTCCAGCACCTTCCCGGTTCGGTTGAGCGTCAGGGGAGTGATAATGTGAACCAGGCCAATATGGGCCTGCTGAACTGAACTCCTAAAGTTGCAAATTAGTTTCAGTAGACATATTGTAGTATCATGATATATGATTGAATCTTAGTGCCAGCAACTCAAAAGAGCTCTGAGACCCTATTCTTAATGCATAGAGAGGAGCTTGGCTTCACTAAAATGTATTAACACTAGGATCCCCGCCTCTCCTGGACCCAGAACTATGCAGGGGAACCCTCCAGCACACCCCCAGTCTAGGAGCAATGCCCCAGCCATGCATCCCTGTGGAAAAATTGCAGAGAGAAGCCACCCTGAGACTACAACTGGTAGGATCACAAGCAGCCAGAACAGGGACCTTTAGACAGTATTCACAGAACTTTCAACAATTTTAAGTGGCCTTTATCTTCCCTGTTCTGATTGGCTGTTTGCTCCAACCCCTTCCTTCCCCTCTCCAATGGTCTCTCTACACCTGAGCTTCACTCCACACCTTTCCCTCTTCTCCCCTGGCCACTCCTTCACCCTTTTCTTCCCTTCCCTTTTCTTTTCATTTAGCTGGTCTCCTTCCTAGCTTAACTCTCCTCCCCACCCCCAAAAAACCATTTCACTAACATGATATTTGTCACCATCTCATAGTTCACTCTGTGTGTTATACCCCGTCCCCCACTCTGGGTCTAGATGGTATATACAGATTCTAAGTTCCTCAGGGCCGGGACCATCTACTACTCTGTGTTTGTGCAGTGCCTAGGATAGCTATAGTGGCCCTTAGGCTGCTGCCATTTTCATGCTTTTTAATACTTAAGCACTATCGTAATAAACACAAAAGCCAAAACTTGTTCTGGTTTTGTTGAAAGGTCAATAATAATAATAATAATGCAGCAGACAAGCTAAAGCTTAATGTTATAGACATTTGTCTTCCTCTTCAGTCAAGCAGCAATGCCTCAAGGTAAGCCTCGTTGTCCTGATTACTGGCCTACTTCTGTTGAAGTCAATGTCCAAACTCCCATTGCTTTCAAGGGAAGCAAGATTAGGCCATTTGTTGGGGTGGAATTAATGCATTCAGAAGCCCTTTTATGAAAGTTATATTAATTTCGATTTTGGACTCAGTTCCAAGACACCTTTTTATGTGAGAGCAAAATTTGCATAGGCATACACAAGTGGGTATAATTATGAATGAATATTGAAGTTTGATTCATGGTTGTCTGGTTTTTCAAATGAAAAAGAACATAAAAAGCCCTGGTGTGCACAATTGGAGCTTTAGAAGTCTGGCCTTAAAATTTTAGTAAAAACACCCTCTGGTAGCTAATATTTTAATACCTGAAAGCTTTGTGTGTTTTTCTCTAGACATTGCATAACTTATTGATAGGGCTGAATTTTATCAAAAATCCCAGAGCACTAACAGTAAATTTAGTAAGAGCCATACATGTGCTGGGACAGCTGCCTGATTTTGATAAGGAATGTCCTCCTTCTTATCTCACCATGGGGGCAACAACCATTCTACTCAGCACTCTCCACTCCTGGGACCACAACCCTAATCCCAGCCCGGACATGATGGTAGGGAACAGATGAAGAGTCACTCCTACCTCCCGTGAGGCTGGGCCCAGGTCTTCACTCCAGACATTGTAATCTAACAGGTGTGCGGGCTCAGGTTTGATCTGCCTCCCCATCCCTCCCTGTCATGGCAGAGGGAGGCCAGGCTAAACCTGAGTGGTGGTATGACTGGTGCACCAGGTCATAATGCCCAGAGTGGGAAGCTAGGCTGAGCACCATGGGACAGGGGCCGAAAAGCATATGTTGCTATGGGGTGAGTCACGGACAGAGAAAAATATCATGGAGAAATAGAAAAAAGTAAATCACACTATCTTTTTTTCCCCACTGTAACAAATCTGCTGTCCTATTTACTGGATATGGTACTCTACTGGTATTTAAAGTGACAGGGTCAAATCTTACTGCAGTTATATTTTTCCATTAGCCATCACTATGAAATGGATGGATAAACTCTATCCAATTTTCCAACCAAAACAAAATTTAGCTGTTGCAACATTATATTAAATATTCTTCCAGGTGTTGGCAGAAGTAAACAGCTCCAGGTTCCATTTTCTAAAGTGTCTGAACACTAATCCCGACCTCAGTCCTCCTTTGGCCATTGGGAGTGGCTGATGTCTTTTAGATGTCATACATGTGCTGGAACTGCTCCCCAGCTCCTACTCATGGTTAGCTGCCCTGGATTGGAGAAGTTCAAGGATTCTAATAGGTCAGTGCTGTGGGGCTGGTTAGAGGCCCAACTAACCAGCTCAGCTGGGGATGATTTCTATTTTAATTGCTAGGTAGGGAGGCCCACCCCAGAATCACTTGGGTAGGCTACTGCTTTTTCTGAGGTTTCAGACCAAGCTGCCTAACTCTGCTGCTGCTCCACACCGTCCATCCCTCGAAGGTGCCACCACCACTCTGAGCCATCTGTCACCATAGAACAACTGCTGCTGCTGCCACTTGGCACCATCCACCACCTTGCAGCTACTGCCACTGCTGCCCTGTACCATCTGTTGCCTTGAAGTTGCCACCAGTCTGCACACTCCACAATACAGCAGGCTTGGCTCAGCTCTTAGAGAGAGATCATTGATATCTAGGACCTTGACAGAGCCCTTACCACTAGACAGGCTCTCCCAATAGCAGAAAACAGTCTTTTTCCTCCCACTCCCCCCCCCTGCTTTGTCCAGGCTTCCTGACCCAATAGCGCCTGACAGCAGTGTCAGTTAGGGTGAGACCAGGCATATTTAATATCAGTGTCATGGCCTTTCATTTCCCAACAACGTCAATTCCATGTTGTTGTCCCCCATACTCAAAATGTAACTGAATTTTAACCACAATGCACCGAACCATCACAAAACTGAAATGTAAAATGAGGCCTGGCCCTTTCCATCTACTCTCTTTGCTCTCCAACAGATGCCAGCTCTCCAACTCCCTTGCCAGTGGAGTCCCAGCTCTTAAGCACCTACTCCCATTTCACCAACAGACGATTGTACTGACCTCCTTTCAGTCTAAGTCTTCAGGCCACAGGGCTTACATTAATTAAAACATCTTCAATAGACTATGTAGTAATGCTCATAAACATGCACTAACTACAAATTTTAAAGGGTCAGCTATATAGACAGACTTTTAAAACATACAATTAAGCTCTCCAGGGTTCGTAAACCCATATTTGGGGAATCTGGGAATTTAACTGTACCATGTTTAATTTGTCACACTACATGTCTTTTTCTAACCTGATTTTGTTGTGAGCACATAATCTTTACAAAGGCTGGTTTAGTTTGATACAGGATGCTTTTTCCTGATCAGGTGTATTGTGTTAACTCCCAGAAATTATTGTTTAACACTTTCTCTCAGGTATCTTCCATTTGAAAGTACCCGAGTCCTCACTTGTTGGTTCAGCCATTGGAAGAATCAGAGCTGTGGATCCTGACTTTGGGAAAAATGCAGAAATTGAATACAACATTGTCCCAGGAGATGGAGGGAATTTATTTGACATCACCACAGATGAGAACACCCAGGAAGGGGTCATCAAACTGAAAAAGGTATTCATTTACTACAAATCTAGTGGCTGAAATTTGAAAATGAGTCATACAACTAAACATGATATGTGACGTATAGGGTGAAATCTTAGTACATTGAAATCCGTGGCAAAGATCCCATGGACATCAGTGGAGCCAGAACTTCTCCTCTTGTGTCACACACAATCAACAATGACCTATGGCACATGAGTTTTATTTATGTACTAATTAGAGCTGGTCAGGAACCAACATTTCCATACTTCAGGACATTTTGACATTTAAAAAAAATGTTCCAATTCAGAACAAAAAGCCAAAATTTCCCATAATATGAAAATTTGGAAAATATGTAATTCCAGGTCAATCAAAACATTTTGCTATGATTTTGACATTGCTTTACTTTAACACTTTATTCAAGATGAGTTTTATAGCCTCTTCCCAGTAAGGTTTCTACCCCTGCCTATGCCACATGTTTCTCCAAGCAGGTCTTCCACCTAGCTGATGCAGAGAGCTTCCTTCCAGGTACTTCAACCATGGCAGTTTGCTCCCTGCTGGTCTCTCTTCCATTATAATCTTTTGTTGACCTTTAATCAAAGGACAAGGTCACCTGCAGTTTATCACCCAATACCTGACTTTCATTTCAAGCTTTCATTTCCATACCTAATCATTTCCAGGACAGCCTTTTTTTCCTTCTTCATTTGCAAAAGTTTGGATATAATCTCTTTTGTCATTTTTAACTGATGAGTGATTGGAAAAATTACATCTCTCACATTAGGAAAATTCTGATTACCCATTTGCCTGAGCAGATACCTCAAAAACAGCTACATTTTGAACTATCACACTTGTAAAAACACAGTGAGGGACACCAGATGCCAAGTCTGAACCAATAATGAGTATAAATGATTGACTGGAAAAACAAATTTGAGCAGGCATAGTAGGCTTTAGATAAGATTAAATTCTCCCTGGCCCTGGGTTTTCTCTTAAGCCTCTACTATGCTTTGTCTGAGGGGAGGGAGAGAGGTTTGCACGACGGTGTAGCTTTAGCAATGCAGCTGCACCACAGTGTATACATACTGCACTTGTGCAAAAAAATTTGAAGCAGGGATAGGCTGCACTATTTGAAAATTTTTCCCGCACTGGAGCAACACATGCGTACAAGGGTTTGCACTGATGCAACTGCACTAGTGAAAAAAAAAAAAGGCCAGTGTAGATACCATCTTAAGTTGCTTCCATGTAGAGGTGGTCAACATTTTTCTGTTGCAATGATTTTCTGATGAAAAATGTCCCCTTTTCACAAAACTAAATTTTTCTGAGAGAGAATTTCTGTTTGACCCAAAACATTCAATTTTCTGTTTTTGTTTGTTTGTTTGTTTGTTTTTTGGGGGGGGGGAGGTGTCAAGAAGGATAGCTCCCTGACTGCCCTTCTGTATGGCTCTTGTGAATTGCACTTTTGCAGTGAAATTGACAAAAGCTTTCCTGGAAGACTGAAAGTCAAAGAGCCAGGCCACTCAGCCTCCTCACTCCCCCCCATCCCCCCACCCTGGAAAGAGAAGCCTGCCATGTCTCTACCATCACTTCTGAAAGTCATAGGAGCCCAAGCTCTTACTAGGGGTTGGCTCCCAGCTTCACAGCAGGGAGCCTGAAAGCCCTGAGAACCCTAGCTCTAGCCAGAGCTCTCAGGGTTGTTAGAGCCTAGAGGCTAGGGTTCTGGGGTAGCAGGGAAATTAACAAGAATGCCAATTTCATTCAGACGCTCTCAGGTTCCCAGAGAGCAGATTTCATTTCAGAAACACCATCTGTTGGTGTTTCCAAAACAGAATTGTGTGTTGGGGGGATTTCTGGTTCATGGGAATTAGAAAAACAACAACAACAACAAAACAGATTAATTCTAATATGAAACAAAGACAAATTTCAAAAACAAAAAATTTCCCACAAACACCACTTTTTGGCCAACTTTACTTCAATACTGTCTTATGAGGAAGAGGTTAATGTCTCATTGAGCTCTCATAAAAAATCATGGACACAGGTAAATCCTCAGTCTGATTATTTTGGGGTCTCCACACTATTTTTGCTGTATTTACTTATTTTATCTTTTGCATTGTCAACCTTTACCTGTTTTCTTCTGAATGCATTTACAACAATAAAAACATCCCCACTGTAATATATTGGCCAATCAACGTTACTTAATGCAAGCAACAGAACTCCGGCACTGAATAGGAAAAAAATAAACAAACTAAAAAAACCCACCCAAAATCCCCTCTCAATCTTTGCCAGAAAAAGCCTGCAGCTAGAGATAGGCTTTGAAGGTCAAGAATTCTTGCTCTGTAGTATGAAGTAATGCAAAAGAAATAATTCCAGAGTGCAGGGCTCTTCACTGAAGGATGCCTTTACATAGGCCCTGATCCTGCATTTTGCCCTTTGAATGATTTTACTCAAGTAAAATTCCCATTGATTCATCCCTTCAGATTTCAATGGCTCGGGTGCTTAAAGATTCACAAGCTTAAAGTTGTGCACTGATTTAGGTGCTTTACTGGAGGGAGTCATAAATAAGAGCAACATGGGATTTTCAGAGGTGTGGAAAACCTCCTGCTCCCATAATTGTCTGTTATAATAAGTGCACACATATGGTGAGACCAGGCAGTGAGATACACCCTCTATTTAGGGTCAGGAATGAGTATTTTAACTGGAATATTGTCCCAATAAAAGGGTGCTAATATATTCCATGTTGAAGTTTGGCTTAGCATTGTTCCTATAAAATACAGCAATTAGGCTCTTCATCTGCATTTTTTATGCAGACTTCTACCTGCTGATAGTGGGAGGGGGGAGAGAAAGAGGTCAGCAGCTGTAGCAGGTGTTACTGAGCATGCTCAGTACAAGCCAAACAACATTACCTCTGTCTGGGATACTAGTAGTTACTGTATTGTTATATGCACAATGAAATCCCTTGCAAACACACTAGCCTTTCATACTTGTTAGTCTTTACACTAAGGAACATATTTTTAAAAGGACCATCACATAGCCTCTAAAATTATTCATGAATTTTATCAGCAACATTATTTATGCATTTTAAATCAAGACACTTATTTAATGGACTTCCTTGGAATACGTGCATGTTTAAAATTAAGCATAATTTCAACTGTTTTGCTGGATTCTGATCTAGGTCCTGATTTTCAGAGGTGCTGAGCATTCACAACTCCCTTAGATATCTGCTATAATGTGTGTTATGCTCACTACGCATATAGTCAATGGGACTACTCACATGGGCCTAGTTGTTGTGAAGTTCAACATTAAAACTGTTCAAAGTACATTCTTAGACTCAACAGGACTACTTAAAATGCTTAAAGTTAGGTATATGCTTTGCTAAATTTGGACCTACTAATGTGCAGGTTCGTCTAAGACTCCAGTAACTATTTGACTAAAAATCACAATTTGCTCAGTACCACCACTTAACCAAAACAATTATTGTCTGCTTGGAAAGCCAGTTTGCTTTCCCTTCTCTGCTTCCTGTATCACAGCCTATTAACATCTCTGGACCACTGCTGTAGCTCAGCACGGAGCTGTATCAAAACACAGTCAAGCTATTCGTAAAGCTTGTTTTTATTTGTCATGAAAAGTTCCCAGTGGTAGAACCTCTTATTCACCACAGAAAGCTTTTTCTTTCAATTTCTATATGAAAATGAAACATGTCTTGCTGAACATGTCTTCGTAAATTTGTTTGGGTAAAAAGCTGTATTTGCTGGCAGAAATGACACATGCCAGGTTTTTCTCTTCAGTATTCCAAGTGAATTGACAAGGAGAGGGAGTTTCGTGCTTCTCTGGCACTAGATGGATTTTGTAAGCCAATGCTTTTCATATGGAATAGGTGCACATCTTAAATTTCGGAATGGAGTTGCTGACCATTTAGCTTCAAGATATGATCCGTTATATAAGCTTAGTTATTACAATGATCATTCTATAAACAAGAAACAGATTATGTTACATTCTGCAAGTCAGAGGCTCCTACTGGCATTTAGCACCACTGTGTGGTTGGTATAGGAATAGCTCCAAGGAAAATGAAAGCAATGAAGCTAAAAAGTGTGCGTGTGTGTGGGGGGGGGATTCCTTATAGCTTAAAAACAACATCCTAATCAATCTGCTTTTTAAACAATTCATAAATATTAGTAGTTAGACATATCATTATTCATTTCTGTGCACATAAATGTATCTTTGTTTCACAGATAGTGACTATCATTTTATAGAGAAATAAGGTGGGTGAGTTAATATGTTTTATTGGACCAACTGTTGTTGGTGAGAGAGACAAGCTTTCGAACTTACATAGGGCTCTTCTTCAGGTCTGGGAAATGTACTGAGGGCAAGTATACACTACAAAATTAAGTTGACCTAAGTTACATCGTTGTACAGCCCCCACAGTGACTGAAACGGTTTTACACGTCCACACTACGCTCCTTGTCTTGGCAGTGCGCGTCCTTACCAGGAATGCTTGCACCAATATAATTTTCAGTGTGGGTCATTCTGGGATGGTTTCGGAAAGGCAGCAACAGTCAATGTAAACAACACAGTGTCTACGCTGACACTGCATCAACCTAAGTACTGCAACTTAAGCACTCTGGTGATGGAATCAGTTTCCATCCGAAGCACATGGCCAATCCATCTCCAACGCCTCCTGACAATGATGGTGCTCAGATCCTCTTGGCTGTACTGTGTCAATAAATCTTCGTTTGAGATTGTTCTGGGCCAAAAGATATGGAGGATTTTTCTGAGGCAGGTTTTATTGAATGAAGATAGTATGATATGTCTTACTTTCTCATTCCCCAGCATTCTGCACGATAAAGTAATGTTGAAAGTATGTTAAAGCTCTGATAAAGCTTGAGTTTGGTTTTGGTTTTTTATGTTGATGATTTCCAGACTGTATTTAAGCTCCTGAAGGTGTTCCTGGCTTTATTGATTGTGTTCCGGATGTCCTGGCTTGTTCCACCATCCTAGCTGATGGTGCTGCCCGGGTTTATGAATGCTTCTACATTGGTGAG